AAGCAGAAGTTCATCCAACTGTAAAAGTTAGCATTAGGAGACGAAACCTAGGACAAGTGCGAGAAAACGGAGCCACGGAAGATGTCTATATATGCTGTTGCATGTTGAAAATTGACACTTTTTGTCCAGGCAACCCCATCACCAATTTAGGAAGTTATGGCCTGGTGAATATGGTTGCACAAGCAATGCCGAATGTTCCGCAAGATGCGAAAAAACGTACTGTTCAAAGAACAGTGATAGAGGATTATCACAGTGCCAGTGCTCAGATGGAAAATTACTGTATGGACGATGCTGTACGTTTCCTTCATCCTGAAAATTGTTCTACGCAGTGATTCATTGGTGCATAATTTTTGAACAGTTTTTTTGCAGTTCGCGACTGCCCAACGGGTTTTCATGCCAGTGGTGCATACTGTCTTCACAATGATGAAGATCATTTCTGGAAGGATGCTAATCAGCAAAATTCACTCCGAGAGCTTCTCAATTCTGGGACTTGCTAGTCAGGAAAACATCCAGGTTAAATTTTTCCAACTTATACCAAGGATAACAAGAACTAGAAATATGCTGCCAAGGGCCGAAAGGCCTGACGCAGCATCCTAATAACACCGCTAACCGTAATATGCAGTACCGAAAGTTTGTGCGGGTGGTTTAACATTAATGTATCTTGATATACGAAGAGTGGAGGGTCTGGTACCATACAATAAATGTTATAAATTAAATGTTATAGAAGAATCACGCTTCAGAAATTACAACGGTTTTCATAACAACGCCCTTGTAAAATTTATAAAAATCTGAAAATCATTTTGTCTATTTTCAGACGTTTTCTCTCTGTAAACAATCAGACACGACAGTTACGAATTGTCTGGCTACGGGTATTACCGGTGAATTATCCTGTGATTTGCAATGCAGCAGTAGCTTTTTTATCATCAAAGTCTTTGAAAAATTGAAGCTTTTTAGAAATCCGGATTTAAAACTGCCCTCTATGTATGGACCTCCCTCTGAAGTTCATAGCACTGGGACTGTAACTTTTATCGTTCCTGAAAAAAAAAAATAAAGTCGTTGCTACCTCCGCATCTGCCAAAATAAAGGATTGGCTTGAATGATGCTACTTAATCGTGAGCTGTTGATGATTCAGTCTTTCAAACGTTGCCACATACTTTAGATTTAATAAACTTGATTACTGAAATTTTACTAAGCGCTGATCAATGGCTGAATCTAACAAAGTTCGAGTTTAAAACTGGAAAATGATATTATAATAAGCTGATGTCATGCAGTCGTAAACTGCATCATGTCTTGTAGCAAATTGCCAAGATGATGTGCTCTCTCAATGCTGGGTTAATTTTCTCGAAGAACGCCCTTTTGTCGCACGGAATGGAGGAAAAGTGGCTGTTCGGCGGGTATTCTTTGTTTTCTGTTCTTTTATTTGTTATACTCTTTGTGTGCCAAATTCCGTTTAACAATGCCAATATGCAAGTAAAATGTTTGCGAAGTGAATCGCAGATGGTAGGCAAACCGAATGAAAACAGGTCCTGGGCTTGTTGAAATTGTTTTGTTTGCGCAACGCACAACGGTAATGCCAGCAGCG